TTGGGCGGTGTTATGCAAATCTTCCCACACAGTGACGTAGACATGTGGGGGCCTGTTAAACGAGGCGTTTTATGAAGGCGTGGACAAATCTTAACTTTTATGAAGAATATCTTTTTGGGTTTGAGACTTTAGTCTTTGCAACTTTAGGGATCTTATCTATTCACGAACAGCTTGTAACACTCCAAAGAGAAAGGAAAATTTGAAATTGCATCATATGACCCCTTTAAAGAACACAAATGCAACATCTCAATTACATATTGACCAACGCAATCTACCAAGCACAGTGCAAATTAGCATAGTCGCAAATAAAGAATAAAGAAATAAAGAAGCCACAGTATTTTGAAAAGACCCGGAGGCCAAAAAATGAAGGGTTGCAAGAAGTTTTGATAGACCTGGTATTGTGTGACTCCTAGTTGAGGGTTCCAAGTCGTCTTTTATTTCCTGAAGCAAATTAAAAATAACATGACTTGCAAAACGATATGTTCAGATAGTTTTCTTATGGCATTCAAAATAAATTAATATGTGTGGAAAAAATCCTCTCCCTTCTCCCTTCTACCATGCACTCTCTGTTCTCTGCGGTGAACAACAATTGCAGCCATTTCAAGTGCAAAATAGTTTAAGACATGCTTTTTTGGCCATTAAATAATGACGCAAATACCAGTAATTTGACGAGCGCAAACGTTAGTAAATCACGTTGCATGATTCATTTGAATACTCTCCTCCCATAACTTTTGCGTCTGAAAGGGAAACTCCTACAAATGCATATTCAATAAGGTCAGACACAAATATAACTGTGTCCACGCCTTTTCAGCGCTAATTCGTCACTGCACGTCTTTAGTAAATCCTGACTAAACTATCCTGACCTGACTAAAAGTACTATTTTAACACCAAAAGACTGTTTGCGCTGGTGCAAGCTGTTAGTAAACTGGCCCTAGGTCATCAGAAAACTGTAGAGCTTAAGAGATTTCCACAAAAACAGAATGGCTGTCAGTCACAAGGACCTTACACATCCATATTTGATTATGCTAATTTGGCTCCACCAACAAACTGCACCAAATTCTGTAGATTTCCACCCCCCTAAATTGGCTTACACATAGTACACTCAGAAGGCATTTGAATCCGCTAATGTATTCATTATTGTTCGGCTTCAGATAATAGTTCATAGCTAGAGGGCTCATGTCAGCAAGCTGGTTGCGTCTTGGCACGGATATTCAGAAAATGACTTCCACTTGCCTTTTATCATAAAGGGTATTGTGCGGCGTTATGACTCTTTGAGCTTCACACTATTGGTTAAAGTAAGATAACAGCTTGTTTTGTCGCTAGCGGTGCCGCTAACAGAAGGCTACACCGGCAGCCTCAAAGACTCAACGGGCAGGATGAATAATGGAAATTCGAAATGTAATTATACATAAAAGATAATAATTGAAAACCTTCTCGGGCTGAGCGAAAGGGAGATTTGAGGGAAAAGTGAGAGGGATCAAAGATGTTTTCTGACAACATAGTCAGGGAATGATTGTGTTTTTGCTGTTGTTCATGCTGTTAAATACCCCTCTTGCTTGGTGAGCTTGGGACTATTTGGGAGATAAAGGCTAGGACAGTAATGGTATGCAGAAACCTCAATAATGTTTATGCTAACTTTTCCTCTCTGTACCAGTGAACAGTAAAGACAAAGAGATTGATAGATTTGAGAAAGACTAGGAACCCTTCCCAGATTATAGATTCTCAGTGAGCTTATCCGAACCCAAGCGGAAACGGGGATGGGGGAAAAACACACAGCTGCAAATATGTAATGAAGTCAGTGGGGAATCGTCAATCGGCTGAATAGCAAGCAGGGGTACCCAAAATAGTCCGGTTCAGGCAGGAAGGAGCTCTGAGAAAATTTGCTTGCTTTGGAGCCGCTGGGAATTAATTTGTATTTAATGAATTTGGATATGCTATGCTCCTTGCTAAGATTTCCTCAATGACATTACTCAATCATTAGATAATTGTTATCATAGAAAAGGACATCACAACCCCAGCGAAGACGGGGAGAATTCAGAGCTCCCCGAGAGCTCGGCGCACCACTGTGGCATGGTTTATTTATCAGCCCCTGCTCCAATAACATTAAAATTCATGCCTGTTTTCTGCAGTCGGAGGCTCCAAAATCGACGGGAGAAGGAGGCCGAATGCCTGGTGGAGATTTCCACCAGATTTTCCGTCAGCGTCACGTAGCACAGGTTGTGCGCGAGTGGTTCCCGTTCGGCTGCGCACCTGAGGAGACTTTAGAATGCTCTCCAAGCCCACCTGCTGTCACCCGGCCACCCGCTGCGCCAATGTGCACAACAAACGATCCGTGTACGAGCGCACACACTCTAGAAACCACCTTCCATTTCTGTCTCTCCCTGCCACGCCTCTAAACTCCCTGATCCCATCATGCTGTTGATCCGCCGCGAGCAGGTGTGAGTCATCGACCCAGAAGCCAGAATCTCATTGGCACACAGAATGTTCCACAGGATGCAGACTGTGCGCTTAAACCGCAGCGTGAGTCCCTGCTGTTGATGTCCCGCCGCCGCATGTGGCAGTAGTCTTCGTTCACCCAGAATGAATGTCTCTCCAGGAGAGAGGGACGTATTGACGCTACCTGTCGAAATGCAGTGGTAGAGTACTAAAAGACTGATAAAGAAGAGTTGGGGTGGGGTAAAGCCCCAGTGGTAATGGAACGGTTGTTGGATCCAGAAACTTAGCATTCTTGGTCACCTGAATTGCAGTTGCTCAGATGGTACATTTAGGCCTAAATTCTGCTGTTTTTGCTTCAAGGGAACCACGGGAAAGTACGTTTAATGCTGTTAAGAGCCCTCAAAACAATTGATCACATATAGTATAATATATTGAGAATGTTGCTTGCCTGAAATGTTTTCACAGGCTGTTGAAATACCTCTCATGTAGTTTGAACTAGGAGGGTTGGGCTTAGTGATTTAGACTCTCATAGAAATTAGTCCCTGTTGGTAACTGCAGCTTTATAGTTTGCAAAAATCACACTTCCCCATCTGTGGCCTTCAAAAGTATGGCAACAAATGCAGTAATGCCTAACTTCCTGAAGCTACAATGAGCCCTCAAAACAAATGATCACATGTATGATAATAAACTGTTGCTTGCAAAAAATGTTTTAGAATTTGGGGGGTTGGTTTTGGTTATTTATCCTCAAAACATTTGCCACTGTTGGTAACTACAGCATTTAGGTGGCAAAACTTGACAGCCCTCAAAAGTACAGCTAGAAATACAGGAAGGCTGACTTTCTGTTGCTACTCATTGAACTAGGGGTGGGCGATATGGCAAAAATATATCACAATTTCTTTTCTTTTTTTTATATCACGATTTGCAGTTTTATCACGATTCTTTGTCATGTTGGTTTTACTATTTTGCAAGTTGTCTGAGCATTACAGCTATTTACAGCTATAATATTTCCATATTATAAAGACAGAGCCTTTAAAGGTAACAAAATATAAAAAAGAATGGCAGACATTTAGGCTAAAGTGGGCAAAGATAAAAATCTTTTTTTTTTATCTTTTTTATCTCATTTTATCTTTGTTATTAAAAAATAAGAACAAAGATACACATTACAAATACACATATTATACAAATAAAACAAACAGTGCTTTATTTTCAGGTACAATAGGTGAATTTAGCAGTTGCATTCAAGAAACTGAATGAACAAATATAAGAATAAAACACCATATAGATTGATTCCTATCAAAACAACTGTATTAAATTTTTTCAGTCAAGAGTAGTGAGTGATTTTTCTCAGTTTTTATTTTTTTTTTAAAGAAATAGTTCACCCAAAAATAAAAATTCTGTCAAATCTGTCATAGTGTTTTATGTTTATACCATCATTTACTCACTCAAAAGTTGTTTTAAACCTGAATGTGTTTCTTTCGTCAGAACAGCACGTGAATAAAACATTTAACCGGCAAGGCTTTAAAGCACATGCAAATGATGTACTTTTGTGACTGTGAATAAGTGCAGTGTCCCGTCATGTGAGAGTAACTCTACCGCTGAGTTAACACTGATGTGAATGTAAGGTCGAGTTGTACAGTATATTGAGATTTAGACGGAGGCACCAGAACTGCAGCTGATTGAATGTGCGCTGTAGCACGATACTACGATATTTCTTCAAAAGCAGATCGTGAAGACATTTTTATCGCCCACGATCAAAAATCTTCATATCGCACACTCCTACATTGAACCCAACCCCTTCTTCAAACCTTATGACCCTAACCCCTATAGCCTTTAGCCTTAGCCCTTACCATTTGAGTAAGACCTTTAGAAAGTTTTGATAGATCTCAAACTTCTCAAACTCCATGTGTTTTGGCATACAGGGCAATGACCTTGGTTACGACCCAACCCTGGGGCATAATATGGAGGAATATCTAGTGTTTATCATGCACTGCAAATAGCCGTTCTCAGTCCTGCGGTATGCACTGACATGAGTATTACTACAGCTCATGGGGAACCGAAATAAATAATTCATGCCGTGGGATTTAAGCGTTGTGCTAAGCTTCAGCCCTGTGCAGCACATTTCGACATGAACTAATGGATGTTCAGCTCACAGCTCACTCTTGACCCTCACCAACTTTCCCCCCTTTGGGACCGACAGTGGTTTATCTCCTTCGACTCCACACCCTGATACTTCCCAGCACACTGATTGATGCGATCCAGCACTCCTGCGAACACCATAACATTGCTGCTAGTTCTTTTCCGTTTGTGTTTGACGGGATGCATTCAGACATATTTAGATCAGTCTAATTTTTCTTGCCTTGAGTGTGGAACTGCTCAGATTCAACACAGTGAGTTAGCGTTAAAAGCCGAAGTTGGCTTTCAAACGGGAAAGGCCTTTGAGCAATTTATTTGGATACGATGTTGCACCAAACATACAAAAAATAAAATGGTTTCTGACAGTCTTGTTACTTTCGAACCTCTAATAGTTTGTTGTCTTCTCCCTCTCTCTGTCTTTTTTCTTTCTGTCTTTCATCCCTTTCTTTGGGGTGTATTTTTTTCTCTCTCCCAGGTGCTCTGCAGATAGAAAACACTGAGGAAACCGACCAGGGGAAGTACGAGTGTGTGGCGTCTAACGTGGAAGGCGTCCGATACTCTTCCCCTGCCAACCTGTATGTGCGAGGTAGGGAGCAACCTGGCCGTGGAGCCCATCGAAACCCACCAATTAGAGATGCACGACTGGTCACATGACCTGTTGTATATAAACTAATAGAGTCTTTACACTAAAGCACATATTGCATATAATAAAATATGCTCATTTTCGATACTTAATGGGTAGTTTTCAGTCTTCTCTTTGACGAGCGGAAACTTGGGTCGTACAGGTATGTTTTATAATCAAGTTTTCAGGTTGAAGAGGATAATGGTAAGTCTTGATTTTGATTGGCCGATGCTATAAACCAATCAAAATACTAATCTTATTCCCTCCAAAAAGGTAAAATGGTCAATTGTTGCAAGGTAAACAATATGCATGTTGCTTATCACAAGTGTATACATTCAAAATGTAACATGCTAACAAGTAATTGCTAAATCTGTCTTGGTTCAGTTATTATTATTATAATGGAACGACTGTTTTAAGGCATTTCATTAGCACAGACGACTCTTGCCGCTAACCTTAAGAGGAGTTGAATCTCCAGGTTGATGATTTTAATAAATCGAGGCAAATGCATTTTGCGCATGTATTATTGATTTAATGCATATCAAAAAAGAGCGTATGGGATGGGTTTTACCCGCTGTGTACCAAATAACTTTGTTCCAGATAAATTATTCTCCGGCCATTATAAAGTGGGTCAGAGAGTTGTCTTTTCATTATTATAGTTATTATTGTTCTCATTATTATAGTTATTATTGTTCTCCCACTAGAAAAGATGCAGATGCTCCATCTCAAAACGACAGATACAGTTTCAATGAAATTTGTCATTTACTCCCATCAATCCAAACCAGTCTGAATTTTGTTCTTCAGTAGAATGCAAATGATGAGATTTCAACCTTAGACTTTTTTTACTTTCATTAAATGGACAAAAAATATCTTCTTTTGTGTTCTACAGAGGAACAAATAAAGGTTTGGATCAACAAAAGTGTGAGTAAATGATAGAATGATCATTTTGAGGTGAATAATCCATTTATTACTTAATTTACAAATTATAAATGCATAGTTGCAGCTATAAAAACAAACAGTTTTTAAATGTGATTATCATAAATAATAAATGATTGACTGTTGGTGAGTTTTAGCAGTTACCACCAGTTTATTAAAGAAATAAGCCACAAGAGGCCTTACTTTTACAGTGACATTACCATGGTAAGGGTATTTTAGGCACATTATGCCTTATAGCACTTCTTAACCATGGTAAAGTCAGTGTAAAACTATGACCTCATGTGTTTTGAAGTATTTTAGTCCTACAATTTTAAGAGACGTTAGATGTTCAGTTGCATTTGATCTGATGTCTAGTGACATTTGAGTAATTGGCTGACTGGAGATTTCTGAAAGCCATTCAAATTACCACAACGATAATTAATTCAACATAGGTATGCTAATGTCTCGCTGATTATGCGCATACTGCATTAAGACAGTATCCCGTCTCCTTTTGTTTTGTTTTCACAGCTTAATCATTGGGTACAATCAAATGTTTTCTGTTCTAAAGTTAACGGCACTTGAAATTAGCAGCTACGATGGAGGAAACAGCTCAGCCGTTTATACGAGCATGCATTTACTGCATTTACGGTTCACATAATAGCGCGACGCCTTTAGAATCGGTTGACTTGATTGTAGCTGCTAACTTTAATGCTAATTATGTGGTTTTTATTTGTACGGTCGGTTTGATTTGGTTTGCACTTTGGGTTGTTTCATTGATTTCTGTTTTTGTGTCTTTGTTTTGTTTCTGTAATTAAAGCCGCAGCGGCAGCTCTTCAGGTGGCTAAAGACCTTGTAATTTTGCATTGTTATAACATGCTTGAATAGACGCCAGTGGCCGAACGCAACCACTGGGGTGAATCAAACTGTTTGGGTCAAAGCAGGTTAACGCGGCAGACATGTCGCATGTCACGCAAGAAATAATCAGGCGACATCAGTCAGAGAAATGTAGCAGCTAAAAGCCTTGAGGTGGCCTTTTTTACTCTCTCTGTGTTTCCCCTATTTTTCTCTTCTCCTCATGTCATTGTGTTCTGCATCAACCCCTTTACATCCCTCAGAGCTTCGAGAAGGTTGGTGTGTTTTTTCTTTTTTCACTTTTTTTAACCCACATTAAAAACGCAAAATCAACATGTATTAAAACCTTAACCTTGACTGATCTATTGGAAGGATCCTTGGCGATTCGGAGTTTAAAATTAAGCTGCTAAATAACTTTTAAATTCTTAGAGTTTTGATTTAATTGCATAAACTAGTATTAACTAACCCGCTAATTCGGGTTTATTTTCCTTTTTACGTTTAAGTTTGCATTGTGGGGCCTTTTCTCGTTTGCATCCTTCAGTATTGCTTTTGCCCAAAGAAAATGCTTACGCTGTCATGGAAATCTTGCATTTGAAAGTAAACCACAGCCTGATGCATGATGGGAGAATGTAACTGCGCTTGCATGCCTCGAGACGCAATTCCTTTGGCTGTCGTGCTTTGTTGCATTCCTGTGTTTTCGTGAGGTTTATTATTTTCTTTGTTTTTGTCCAAAATGAGAGCCTTTGTTGGTGACTCATTCAGTCAGTTCCTTGTGTTGTGGTGTTCGTGTGATGTGCACCCCTTAGTTTTGTTCATTTTCGACTCCCTTTCCGTTCTAGTTTCTGGTTTGTTAGATGTGGTTTGTGTTTCTGTGCTCTGTCGTCTCTTGTAGGCTCTTTCTGCAGACAGTTTTCCCGCCAACTTCTCAATTACAAAGCCGTTCTTGCTCACAAAAGCTTGCAAATTCACTTCTGCTAATTAGTTTTTGTGCCACATGGATCATTGGCAGATATAATGATCTCCGCACTTCATGTGGCCCTCCCAGAAAACAGGCTTTATTTCACAGCGGCAACAAGCTAGCGATATTTCCTCGTGATGACTGACTGCCTCTTGCCCTTTCGCAGTCTGCAGGCTCAATAAAATTAGGATTTATCAACCGCTCGAGTCCTCGTTGCCAGCGTACATCTGAAGCGCTTCTTACATCACCGAGACGTGCTGTATTAAAACCCCCAAATTGGACCAGAACAAAAAGCAGGTGCTTTGTTTGTGAGTCTCTCTATGCTAATCCTTCGCTAATGCAGCCCAGCACAGTAATTGCACGCCTGTTTCATATGCATATCGAAGTCCCGTCTGCCTTTTGGATTCTAGGTAATTTAGCTTTACGTGTTGGTTGCATGCAGAGCTGTAGCAACCACTACAATATTTACCATGTCTATGCTCGTCCACACACTTTTAAGGAGATTTTCAGAAACTTAGTCTTGTTTTATAAGCGAAAAATATCTAAACGTACTTTAAAAAAAATAAATTTACTTGAGAACCAAAAGTGTGTACATTCAAAATTCTGTATTAGATAAAAATGTAGATAATGTCTTAAATTTAAAATTATTTTTTAAATATTTGTTTTCTTATTCAATTGGCATTTTTAAAGCAAAAAACTTATTAGATTCGAATATTAGATTAATAATATCTTCAAATTTACATTAAACTCTTTTCATTTAAATTACGATTACATTTTAAATGAAATTTAAATATCTTTTTTTTTCTTGTGCCTTTGCAAGAAATTACAGTTTTTCTTACCCCATTAAAACTGATAAAAACAAAAACTTATTAGTTTAATATTGTTTTCAAGTTTAACTCATTTTTAAATGTAAATGTTTGTTTAAATTTCAACTACTTATAATAATAATATAATTATGATAATATAATATAATATAACTTAATATTAACGTATATATATTAACCATTCTTTAGTGGTTGCAATTCTTTGTGATTGTGATTTTTTTTTTTTTGTAGCTGTAGAATGATAAATAAGGCGAAAGCTCGCATTTAGTCTGATAAGTTTGTCCAATCGTGCGGATATCTCATCGCTCTCCCCAGTGTAGTGATGGTTCAGATGGCTGTTTGTCTGTCTGTCAGGGATAATGACATAGAACAAGAGCCTCTGCTTCACTTGGCTAATGCTAACGTGTTGCCGGCCATCTCGTGATGTCTGAGACTAAATGGCTCTCTGAATTATTCAGTTTTTACAGACACTGTGTTGTTGGGGGGGGCACGATGCCACATGAATTGAGGGTATAAATAATGAAGTGCGCTTTGCCGCTACTCTGTCTCTCAGGGTCTGGCATTTATTGACAGAGCTTTATTTTTCATATCCAGCTGTTCCCACTGTGATATCTGTGCCCCCTTTACCCTGATAGCTAGTTACTGCTGCCTAGCATGTAGATAGTGTAACAGACTGAGCGTATTAGCATTCCCTAGCTGCACGCTAGCAATAACAAAAATACATTTTAAACATTAAAGTAATGCTAGTAGTTAGCATGCTGTAGCTTGAAAGTGAGACCAGCAAAACATTTTCAGTGGAAATGTTTAATTTTCACAGAACATATTTGCAAGCTAGAGTGTGTTAGCCACTAGAATTGCATGTTTTGAAACAATCTACCATTTTTCTTAACAAAAAAAACTCCCAAATGCAGTTTTTGTGAGCTAATGTGCTGCAAAAAAAACAAAAACAAAATTACAATTCTGTTTGCAGCTTTAATGGCTAGCCACTCCTTTCAAATATTCTCAATATTTTTTGACTAGATCTTCTTGTTAGCCGTCTACCTCAGGCTTGGAAGTTGCCTCCGTATGGCAAAATTCCCCCTCTGAGCCTCGACTTATCTGGTTCTCTTCTATTTCGCACCAAATTAATAACAGAAATGATGATTGTTCTTGTTCCAATGAAGTCGCTAATCTTTCATTGTTGCCGCCTGACAATGAAGCTCTCAACCGTTCCGCCATTCAACTCCACATAATGCCAAAATGTTAAGGATTCAAGATCTTAGAATGTTTCCAGGGCATTATTAATGGCAATTAGCCCCCGAGACGAGGAAACGAGACCTCACAGATCCACTCCGAGATGCTGGAAGACTGAGCTGTACTGAATGCCATGCTAAATTCTACGAGTATGTTCAGTGTATGCGCATGGAGATGCATGTGAACCCCACTGCCACCACTTTGGGATGTTTTGCATGTCCTTGCATGCTGTGTTGGTATTCAAATAGAAATGCAAGCTAGATCACACCCTCTACTTCTGGAAACGAAGGCTAACTTTGATCCGAATAAGTGTCATAAAGGAACAGGTTTTGGTGCAAAATCTAAAATGCAGTTCAGCCTCAGGATTTAGCTGAACGCTACTCATGCATTGGCCAGACAATCAGGAGGTAGTGTTTTACAAATGCACCAATTTTCATTACTAGAACTGGTCCGAACCCCAACTGAGGCTGCTTTGCATTGCAGTGGCGGAGGTGTGTGTGTGTGTTAATACTGGGAACCCCTGCCGTCTGCATGCAAATGGCCTCACTACCTTCAAGCGAAATGGATTATTGTGGGTTTTGGACATCAAACAGGGTGTAATCTCAGCTTCAAGGTGACTTTAAAGGCTGTGCATTATTTTGGCTTCCCTTCCTACCTTCATTTTGGGGCTGGACAGACTGTCTCACCAAAATGGCCGCGAATGTCCACCTTCGATTCTTCCTAGTCAGGAAGCACAAGGAGTGAGGCACTCTTTGGCCTTTTTATTTTGTCTTTCTCTGTCCGTTGTAAGACCTCGTGAGTTGCCTTTCTCTCCACATTGGGCTTGAAATGGGATTTCATCTCTAGACCTCAAAGAGATCGCTCTCGACCTGCTGGACTCCTGGTCGTAGTGAATGAGGAGCGTGTCCGTCCGATTGGACTGTTTTATATTTCTCCAAATATCACAGCGGAGAACACCATCGCACATCAAACGTCAGGATTTGAGCTATAGGACCATGTGTCAGGATGTAGATAAAGCCCAGGATGGCTTCATGCGATGGCATTTCAAAGGCCGATGCATCGATAGCGGCAGCCGTAAATGTCGACATGCATCTGAAAACATTAGACCCGCTTATGATTCCCCCTTTTGCCACAGTTTATTTGAGCGCGATGCTTTGCTGCCTGTGACTCTGAAGTTGCCAGGCTCCTCGCGACCTTTTCAAATGGTTGTTCCATTTAGAAAATGACCCAATTGAGTCTGACTTTTGATTAGAATCGGGAATTTTCAAGTGTAGATTGAGCGTGCAACAATAGGATGAATAATTCACAAGGTGAAAGGTTGCAGCCCTCATTCGCTCAACTACCTTAGCATGAATACCTTGGTCAACTGAATTTGACCCTTGGAAAACAAGCTTCAGTTTTTAGCCTCTTGTAGACTTGGTTTAAGAACGGCCAAATGTTGCATCACCCATTTTCAGGCCCACACGCAATATGTATCAGCGGAACTCACATAGTATGTGTGTTTATTTAATATATTGGCTTATTTAACATATTTACCACATTTTACCATATTTATTTTCCTAAAATCAGTGCAGGAAATGCTTAAGCATCAGCAAATTACGTCTGGGCCTTTCCATCATTAATCCACACTAGAAGAATCACGCTCGTCTTGTCACTATCACGTTGCACTGTGTTCTGTCATTGTTATAACACACCCGCACTGCGATTATCTGTGTGTGCTGTGTCAAATTCACCAATTTTGACATTTCAGTTGTGTGAATTCCCTAAAATGTTGCACTTGGGGAGGGTTGCATGCCTCAAATATGTGTTGACTGAAGCTGTAGGCCTGGTTGATAGTTTGGTGCCGTTCTGTTGACGCCATTCCTGCAATCACGGTCATGCATGAACATTGTGATACGTGGGCTGCCCTTTCAACTTTGTTGAACATTTGTTCAATATGCATTTATATTGGGGTGGGGGTCGTTTGAGTATGTCATTGTTTATTTTAATGTTGTTTTTGTTTTCTAAACAAATCAAGAAGTATTTTTCCTGAATTAAGGGAGTGATCCAGGTTCAGTGCAAATGTTGCTCTGTTGCATTTGTGGTGTGATGTTGATTACCACAGAAAATAATTTAGGAAAAAAAGATAAAATTTCAGTTACGGGATTAAAAATGTACACTATTTTAAGTTAAGCCAAGTTTTTAAAATAATAATAAAAAATATAGAAAAAAAAACTTTTTTATGGAAGTTATCATCATGCCTCCAAATGCTATAGACAGAGCTTAACTTCAACTGAACCTGGAAATTTCCTAGAAATAGATTACTATTACTAACTTGCTTAACTTACTAACTTGCTTAAATTACTAACTTACAAAAAAAATCAGTATTAAAATGAATAAATTTATTATAAAATGTATTTTAAAAAAACTTAAATATTATTATACATTTATAAACTAATGACAAAGTTAACTTGATCTTGTTTTACTCCATGATTATGAAATGGATTGAGTTATAATGTGATTTTCACTCACTGTACACCAACCGAGATCATTCGTCAAACTGTCTCTCTGAAACTGTGAATATATTCATGTTTAATTAGAGTAGAGCCTGTTACCTTGACTAACTATAACAGCATTTCTAAATTTAAAAGTACTCAGTAATGTTTATTTTCAAAAAGGTTTTAAAATTCGAAATGTTCTAAACATTCAAACTAGATTTAAACCCACTGAACTTTCGATAGTGTTTACAAATTCAAGACTTTATGCTCTTTGGCTGCTGTTGTCTGAGGCGATGGTGAGAGTTTAATCGTGTATTTCAAGCCCCATTGTGTGAGAAGTCAAAACAACATGCTTTTACTCCAGTTGGCCCAGGGTTACAGTCTCCTCTTTGCCCCAGTCCCCACCTCTCACTCCCTGTGTTATTTCTCTTCTGTCTCTGTCCCACATGTACGTCCACCATTTTGTCCTTCCCATCTGTCCGGCCCCCGTCTGCAGTCTTGCAGCCTAGGTCTTGTTCTGCTTGTGCCCTATCTCTACCTGTTGTTCCTGTCCTCGTTGTGTCTTTGTGTGGTTGTTAATTTGATTAATTTGGTTTAAAGTTTTGTTGTTTTTTTTTATTCTGAGCTAGCCCCAGCACCCATTGCTGTCCCTCTGTCTTTCCTTTCTCCTCTTGCCAAATGTAAATGAGGCATGACCCCCTCACCACCCGCCATCTTAGGACACACCTAGCACCACCCTACTTCTTGTTTCATTGCCATTTTACATCCACCGACATCAATAAGGCAGTGCAGTTGCCTTGAAGATTCTTGGGGAAACCAAACTATAAAGTTTGGTGCAATACTAAATTTTACATGTAACAGGTAGCACTTCTTTAACCTGAACACTGCTACTAGTAACATTTGTATTCTAATTATAAATGTGCTGTTCCAAAACCTTGCAAGATAAGTACCTAGATGTATAAACGTACACCTAACACCCAGTGTTTCTTAAACAACTTTATATTGCTTTCTAAGATATCTAGTTTTGGCTAAGTGATAAGAGAATTGCATGTATCCTTGTGGTAAAAAGTCAATCCCAAAATCCACACAAAAGGACAAAGTTTATGGAATAATTTCATTCAAGATGTTTAAGTCTAATTAAAAATGTACTGCTTTACCCAACAATTGTGTCAGACTCAATTGGAAACAGTTGTGAGTTGGGTCTTTAGAATATTTGTAGAAAGTTTCCTTAGAAGGTATCTGTAGAAGGTTTTGGAACAGAGTCTGTATTTTAAAGTCTTATATGTTTCCATTGTTTCTTGACTTTTTAACGAGTCATGTCAAAATAGCAAGGTTACCAAGAATGAACATGCCAGACAGGCTATGAAAAAAGCCTGTTGCACAACCTGGCCAACTCTATCGCTGCCATAACTCATATCGAACCCTTTCCCCCAACAGATCCTTCATCTTTTCTCTCGTGTGTAGGTTTGGCATCTCAATAGTTGAGGTGCTTCGCAGTCATCATCGTAGACTAGAATCTGTACCAATCATGTGCCCTTTTTTGGTAAATTTGTAATCATTTTCTTTCTTTTTGTTGTTTTATTGATGTGTGATAGTTAGTTGAGTTGAACCGCCAGCTACTTATTGACTGAATCCAGAATTTCCGCTGTAAATTTTGTGTTACGTCTAGCCAGGACCGCAATGTGACAATACGATCCTGTCACATTACGTCATATTGGCTGGAGACGATAAAAAAGCCTTTCTCTGCATTGAAGTGGGTTTCCCCCTCGTTCCTTTTCCCAACCCTTCCCTTTCTTCCTCTTTCTGGCTCTTTTGCGCGTTCTATTCTCTTATATTTCTCTTTTTTTTCCTCTCCAGTTGTCTTTTGTCCGGGCATGCTAGCGACCCTTCAGTTATATTCCTCTATGCATTTTATCTCAAATTCTTCTCTCTGGTTTTATTGTTCCCATTTACTCTTTGGTTGACCTCTACCTATTTCTGCATGATGTCTGTGAAAATGACAGCTGCATCTATCAATGGAAGCGTGTCAGATCTTAAAAAGGCTTTGTCCAGTTGATCTACTCTCAACCACAAAAATCTGATTAAGGTTTCTCATCTTTAGTCCCTCTTGGAGGGACTCACATTACTAGTGCATGTACGTAACAACGTGTACGTACAGTCATACATATGTAAGGTTTCTTTAGCATAAAACATTTTAAAAAAAGTTTTTTATTACTATTTTATACTCTCAGAGTATTTTCTGTAAAGTTTGTTCTGCTTTTTAACAGTAATTCATGCTTTTCATTTTGTTTACTGTAGTTATAAGCTACATAGAGATCTCATTTTAAAGATGAGAAACTCATAATAGATTTTTGTGCAATTAATTGTGCTGTGATGGGTCAAATATTGGTCAATGGAACCTTGTTGCTATGAACTTGTTGCTTTAATGTCAATCTATATTGTTGGTGAAGCAGTTTTGTTAATTTAGTTACTTTATCATTATTTTAATTTGTATAGACCGAAATGTTTGTGAAGTTTTAGTCTAATTTTTTTATAATTTGTTGTTCTCTCTTTAGACAACATCATGTACGTTCTAAAGAAAGGCTCATTTTCATCGGCGTGTCATTACTTTTCTCTTTCTCTTTTTCTTGTTGCCATTCCTTCGCCCTCTGCAGTTCGTCGCGTGCCCCCACGTTTCTCCATCACGCCCCCCACCATGCAAGAGATCATGCCAGGTGGTAGCGTTAACATCACTTGCGTCGCCGTTGGCTCGCCCATGCCCTACGTCAAGTGGATGCTTAACTCGGAGGACCTGACGCCCGAGGACGTGATGCCAGTGGGCAGGAACGTTCTGGAGTTAAACAGCGTCCGTGAGTCGGCCAACTACACCTGCGTGGCCATGAGCAGCCTGGGCATCATCGAGGCTAATTCCCAGATCATTGTCAAGTGTAAGATTCCATTGAGTCCTACAAGGTCACTCGAAGGATCTCTGGTCAAAAGAAATTAAAACTAAGCCAAAGCAAGTATTTCAGAAAGTGTTTAGTCCCAGTATTGAGTGTTTAAGTCTATGGTATTTTCTTATCCCCTACTTGCAGCCTTGCCGAAACCTCCAGGTATTCCTGTCGTAACCGAAACTACCGCCACCAGTATCACCATCACCTGGGACAGTGGCAACCCTGAGCCCGTCTCCCATTACATCATCCAGTATCGCGCCAAATCTCCTGAAAGCAAGTTCGAGACCGTGGACTCCATCACCACCACTCGCTACAGCATCGGCGGACTTTCTCCAAACACTGATTACGAGATCCGCGTGTCAGCCTTCAACACCATTGGCCAGGGCCCGCCCAGCGAACCAGTTGAGGCTAGGACTGGGGAGCAAGCTCCCGCCAGCCCACCACGCAATATCCAGGCCCGTATCATCTCCCAGAACACCATGATGGTACGCTGGGATGAACCCGAGGAGCCCAATGGACAGATCAAAGGTTATCGGGTCTACTACACCATGGATCCATCTCAGCCCATGAGCATGTGGCACATCCACAACGTACAGGACAGCGTGATCACCACCATTCAAAGTCTGGTGGCCTCCGAGACCTACACCATCAGAGTGCTGGCCTTCACGTCCGTAGGAGATGGACCCTTCTCGGATCCCATTCATGTAAAAGTGCTTCAAGGAGGTTAGTTTGTCTTTTTTTTTTTTTTTTTCAATCTCACGAAGCCATTGGCACCAACAGTTTGTCAATTTTAAGTGTCTATTTTCAGTGTTGGGTGAGCGAAAGATGTAGCATGGCGGGTTTCGCAACTGAAGAATGTTTGTTGCGAATATTGGGTGAAGTAAATTGAATTTAGAGATTGATCAAATCTGTTTTTTGTGTTCGGTGGGCTAATAATGTAGCAAAATGAGCTTAGTGATTGAAAAATTCTGTTGTCACTGTTTGGTAAGCTAATGATGTAGCAAGGTAAGTTTCGCAATTGTAAATGCACATTGTTATTGGTTGAGCTAATGGCGCAGCAAGGTGAGTAAAAATCTAAAAATGTCTACTGTTATTATTTAGCAATTGACAAATGTCTGTTGTCAGTGTTTGGTGGGCTAACAATGTAGATAGGTGAGTTTTGCAATTGAAAATGTACATTGTTTGTATTGGTTGAGCTAATGGCATAGCAAGGTTAGGCCTGTCGCGATAATTAAATAACCGTCTAATCGCGATTATTTGATCTAACCCACCGCAATTATTGTGCTTTTTATACGAGACAAGGGGGAGTCATACACCAAATCCAAATCCATGCGCTACAACATGGGATTATTCAATGCATGCTGATGAACTTTTATCATAGTTTATAGTTATATGGAAACGAAAGTGGTTCACATTCAACCCGTTCTTTATCATAGCCTTTCTTTTTCTCATGATTTCTATCTTATATTCATGAATGTATTGCATGTAAGAATACAAATAGTTAACAGAATAAACATGTTTAAATTGTATAATGTGCACCAAAGATTTTTTTTTTTCAAGATATTGTTTTTGCTGCTAAATTATACAGTCAGCTAGTTTAATTTCATAGATTATATATTTTTATTCAAATGTAGTTTCTCTCTGTAATGACTGAGGAAGTGAGTATTTAGTGGATTGCGTTTAACAAAGGGTTTGAAAGAGTGACCATTAGTTCCACAAACAGAGTATTGATATTCTGTAGTGGTGTAGAAGAAAAATAGCGCTGGTGTTAGATCGGTGTTGACCGATTCTTAGAATTTGGAATACTCTATGTAATCTTACACTGCAAAATAATAACTCAAAAAGATTAAAAGATAACATCATAATTATTTACTGATCCCTTAAATTAATCACAATTATATAATGAAAGCCATAAAAACAGACAATTAATCATGATAATCGGCATAATCGGCATAATCGCCAAAGCCCTAAAACAGACAATTAATCGCAATAACCGTGACTATTTTTTTAGACAATTAATCATCAGCCAAATTTCATAATCGTGACAGCCCTAAGCAAGGTGAGTTTAAAAATGTCTACTGCTGTTATTTAGCAACTGACAAATGTCTGTTGTCAGTGTTTGGTGGGCTAACAATGTAGAAAGGTGAGTTTTGCAATTGAAAATGTACATTGTTTGTATTGGTTGAGCTAATGGTGTAGCAAGGTGAGTTTAACAATTGAAAAATGTCTGTTGCTAAAATTGGGTGAACTAATAGTGTTGAAAATTGAATTTTTTGGTTGAGCTAATGGTGAATTTGAAGCAAGGTGAATTTGAAACTGCCTGTTGCTAATATTTAGCGATTGAAATTTAGCAAATGAAAAGTGTCTTGCGAGTTTTTGGTGGGCTAACGATGTAGCAAGGTGAGTTTTACGGTTGGAAATGTCCTTTGTGAGCAGAGCCGATCCTCCCTATACACAAAATACGCAAGGTGCGTAGGGCCCCCGAAACACCAGGGGGCCCCCTTGCTGTCAAAGATTATTTAATTTTAGTTTTGTTTTTTAATTTGGCCAGCAGTTATGAAAACATGAATGTCAATTTCTTTTAATGCGGTGCACTGTCACCCTTTCTACGTAAAAATCAGTCAAATCATGTAACGTGAATGTCGTACAGTCTCTTGCTTGAGACTAAAAAAACGAGTTGAAAGCGTACCGAGCCGCGAAAGAGACACTGTTTCTCAAGCGCTTTCCGTGAGCGCAATTCGAGACGGAGTGAAACACAGACAAATGTGTTTCATTCATTCATTCACACACACCCCCATTCCCCCCGACACAGTTTTGCATAGGGCCCCCAGAAGTCTAGGATCGCCACTGTTTGTCAGTTTTGGGTGAGGTAGCTGCGTAGCAAAGTGAATTTAGTGATTTAAAAAGTCTGTTTTCAGTGTTTGGTGGGCTAACGACATAGCAAGTTAAGTTTCGCAATTGGAAATGTCTGTTGTTAGTACTGGGTAATAACAGTGTAGCAAAGTCAGTTTATCAATTGAAAAATGTCTGTTGCTAATATTGAGTAAACTAATAGCAAATTGAATTTTGCAAATGTCTGTTGTCAGTGTGTGGTGAGCTAACGATGTAGCATGGTGAGTTTCGCAATCGGAAATGTCCATTGTTAGTATTAGGTGAGGTAACAGTGTAGAAAAGATGTAGAAAAGTTACTTTAGCTTTGAAAATGTCCATTTTTATTGTTGTTGAGTCAAAAACATAGCAAGATGAGGTTAATGATTGGGTATGAATTGGCGAGATCATTTGAGCAATTGTAAATTTCAGGGTTACAAAAATGTAAGTACACTACTTTAACCTGGTAATCATTCAGTTGCCACAGTAAATGGTTTTTTTTCTACCACATTCACTAAATTTACAGTTGTAAATTTCTTGTCTATTAAACTGACAACACTGGCTCCATTTGTAGTCCCTGGACAGCCGACCAACTTCCAGGTTGGTGAGGTGTCAGACACGAGCATTGAGCTAACATGGGAACCGGCCTTTGAAAAAGAGGGAATCATCAGTTACGAACTACATTACAAAGAGGGCGGGCAAGAATCTCAGGTGCCTTCTTTACAACAAACCTTCTCAAATACATTGTCAGGACCACTGTTGCACATGTCATTCGCAGTAACATTATTATTTTCCACCAAACAGGTAAAGAAAACATTCGGCCCAACCTCTTCCTATGTGGTGGAGGGTCTGCGTGCAAATACAGAGTACTACTTCTCTCTGGCTGCCATCTCCAACAAAGGCATTGGAGCCTTCACCAATGAAATATCCCAAAGGACATCCCAAGCCAGTATGTAGTCCATTTCCTTTCCTAAGGACCCGAATGTGAAGGGTTTGGGGGGGTCTACTATTGTATTTTGATTGAGAAATGCCAAGCCATAATGGCTATTTTGAGCTTTCGTTGGGGTCGGGATACAACAACACTGTTTGAAAGGGCCACTGTAACCTTCACCCTCGTTTCCCAATCCAGGGATATTGTTTATCGACTCCGGAAATGTCACGAGTAAATGATAATGGTTTGCTTGTGTCTGCAGCAGATATGTGTTAAAGAACGGACACTTGTCTGGTCCCTGGTTTATGACAGGTGTTCTGCTTTGGGTTTTCTGGCAGTGGTTCTTTGTGTTGTGTTTGTTTATGCATCTAAATTGCGCAAAACAGCATCACCTTTGAGCCAGAAGTGAGTTTTTCTACATGCAGGTAGCAAAGGTGATGTTATTTTGATGAGAATATTTCCAAATGACTTGGCAAAGCTTTTGAATATTTTCTTTCTGTGCATGTTGAGAACTTGTTTTTAATAAGACGATAAAAACGAGCAAAACAATTTTTGTGTAAATTGTTTGTGAAAACATTCTCATGTAAATCACTGAAAACGCATCGGTTTATGTAAGAATGGTTGTATGTGCGATTTGCGCAATTAGTTCTGCTTGAGTTTCATGAATGAGGCCGTCTTACTTTGATGTTTTAAACATTACTATTTATTTTGATTGAGCATCTAAATGTTAAAGCCCAAACTTTTAAATGGCCTGTGTTGTTTAGTTTAATGGATTCTTCTCCCCTTGGATTGTGTCACACGCACTTCTTTTTCTTCTTTGTTTGGTTATTCTTTCATCTGGGTCTCTCTCTCTATGTCACAGTTATGTATTTCAGAGATTTCCTACATGTGAAACAAACAAATCAATGTGGGTTGATTGATCTGCAGCAAGCGTGCCGTTCGGCTCCCCTGCGCGCTCCCTTCTTTCTTCTGTGTTCGTATTTCTTTTTCATGTGTCAACAGCAAATGCACTTTTTTTCCTCCCATGTGACTGAAGCGCACAAAATATTATTGACTCTGGGGTCTGCCATGGCTTTCCACCACATCTAGTCCCTCACTGTGTATTACTGAAAGCAGCGCAGTCAGTGGCCGCTGGAGCCTGCAGGTAGTCAGCATTTACGCTGGGAGACTGGCTGAATTATTCAAGCCTCCGGCCTAAAAATACACCCTCGCTGAGTCGCATCATGATTCAGTGCATGAATTCATCAGTGCTTGTGGGGAACCTTGCAGCTGGCATGTGCCCTGATAAAAAATTGCAGTTACTTGTGTTCAGCTTGTACAAACAAAGGGGTCCAGAAGTCTGAGAGCATGAGTGAAAATGCATCTACTTTTATTTTCATTGTGGTCTCAGTCTTTTATACCAAGCTAAGAGATATTTCACTTGTATTTCTCTGAGTGATTAAAATTATTATTTTTTTTGAGCACAGAACACTTTCAGTTTCAGAGTAAATTAATTATGGGTGACAAATGCACTTGTGAATATGGCATTTCTATAATTCCACATGCTGCTAGCTAGCTTCCAAGAAAAAATAAACAAAGAAAAAATTCTGTGCACCTTCAAAACGATTCCTATAATTGAGCTTAGATTAGTTTTTTATGCTTTCATGTGTTTTAGTGTAAAGGTTAAAAAAAAGTTTAAACTCAACATGAACTGGCATTCAAAACCCATTTTATTTCTGTAATCTGGCATGTTTCTTAGTGAAATGGGATATTGGAGAACAACTTTTTTCAATTAGGAACTGATTGGAAAATTGAAATTGAAAAATAAGGCAAAAGTTGCCTCAGAGGCAGAGCAACTTATTACATTTTGATGAAAGATTGCCTAGATAAACTTTTTTTTCTGTGAAAAAATTAATGCATTTTGTTTTCATGATGCTCCTTTTGTTTAGAGGTTCCTTTTATAGATTTGATTCTTCAGACTTGGATACACTTACAGTGGGCGGAAGATGCCAGAAAGCCATGGCAGCAGACGTGGACCATTTTAACTCATCTTCTCTTTCTACCTGTGCAGCTTGTTGGTGCAGAATGGGTGGGATGGGGTTGGTTGAGTGGGTGCTGGGATGCAATGAACCTGCTGCATTGACACACAACGTTACACCTGAGCATGAGAGAGCGAGCACTGAATGCATGTATTTCCTCCCATTACCCCCGGGGGGCGCTCTGTTAATGCAGCCTTTGACCTCTGGCATGTGGTACGCTGTGTGTGTCCCCTTCTGTTCCATCTCTATATGTCTGTCCTGCTGTTGCTGTCTTCATATATATTATTCTGAAACAATGCGGTGCACTTTCTACCTCCCTTTTGTTTTCTAGCTCTTCTGTTTCACTTTGTTTCCTGACATGAGACTAAAGCTCACCTTCTCCGGCTTGACGTCACCTGGTTTTAATTTATTTCTGTTCGGTACACAGTTCAGTCAACTTTATTTCATTTTGTTTTGGTTTTACTCAAACACACTTGAGGAAACAGCTCAGCATTTTGGTAGTTTTTTTTGCTCTTGCTATCAGGGTTAAGTTTACTGTGACAAGCTCAATATGCAGCAGCAGCACATAGCATTGCCAAAGCAAATCCATTAAACTAAAGGTGAGAGTAAGTATCCCGGCGGAACGGCCGTAGGCTTCTTGCTTGAGTTACGGGACTCCGCTTTGTCCCGCAGGGTCTCACACAGACGGGAGACGTGGTTCACTACATCTGCCGATGTCTTCCCTCAAGCATAAACTAAAGTAGTGCAGATTTACCCATAACAAGGTCAGGGAGGCGACAAGCTTAGACACAAACGCCCCACTACCTAACACATAAACAAACATTACAGTGTGGATACCCGTGAGGTAAGTGACCGCCGTTCAGAGGAAAACCCAGTCTGCCACCTCACGTTTCAGAAATCAGCCAACTTGACAGTGCGTATATGTAGGCGTATAGTGACCTTGAGGTTCAGAACTGTCATATACACCAGCGGAATTGGTTCGCATCCCTTTACAACTTTGCACAAGCTGGAAAGAGTGCCGTTGTCTTCACCAAGAGTTCCCAAGACATTTAAACACTAATGAGCCAGATTATACATGGATTACCTCTTCATATATATATTTTGAACTACACCAAGTGGCAGACTGGACTTCCTCATGAAGGCGCGAAAGAAAAGTGTATTGTGTTTGTTTCTTTTGGTACAGTGCTGTTCAGTTGACGCCCAATCAGGTCACTGTTTGTGGGTCAGCCCACAGTTACGAGCCCCTGCAATGGTCCAGCAGAGAGTACTCACCTCACCCTCCATATCCCCCAACTCTTTGGAGGATATGTCCAAACTTTCGAGGGTTAGTGGAGATAGACACTCCTGCCTCGACCAAGTGGGTGCCAGTGGGAAATGCGCTTAAGAGTCAATGGCTATTGAGTGATGCTAAGGTTTCAAGCATGGTCATAGAGGGTCCACAAACTAGGGGCAAGGGTTTCTGCACCAGTCTTCGTCTTGGGTTTAGTGCAAGAACATCTTGGAGGTCCACAAGTAGATTAAGTCCAATGGGTTTAATCAGTTGCCTGCGTCCAGCTTGCAAACTAATTCCAATCTTTTCAGCCAAGCAAATCTCTAACTGCCGTTATTTTTCACCTCTCATTTGGCTTATCTGAAGGAGCACCACAATTTGGATCTGGATTATCAAGTCAATAATTGTGAAAGTAAACATCTTACAATTTTGATTTTGTGGCACAACTCTTAGTTTTGAAGAGTGATTTTATTTGGAGGTCCACAGTCTTGTCAATTGATTGTTACACTCATAGAAGTTGGTAAACTAATTCCAACCTTTTTATCCAAACAAATCTGAGTTTTTCTTAATAAAGAAAATAAAAATATTTTTAATAGTCATTTCATTTTGAACGCTGAACTTCAAGGCTTTGTTGCGTTTGATGTATAATACATCCCCAGAATCATGAGTAAACCTTCAGGTAGTTCTGCAACTCTCAGATACCAAACTTTCTTGCCACACTCAAACCAGGTCGATTTACGAGAACTGAATGCAAATACTCTTCAAGAGAGGAAGTACATCTTCAGAATATATCTTCAAACGGAAGATGAAAATCCAATAAAACTTTAATCCAATAAGCCCATTTGGTGAATAAACAAGGCTCTGAATAATGTCGCTCACTGAACTGTGAGACACCTGTTATGAAAGCTGGCTGGTGAGGGGACAAATCGGTTAACCATTTCTCAAACAAAAGCACAAGTGGGCTGCTGATGGGTTGAATTGGGGTGGGTTATATTACTTGGTTATGAATGGCTGGGTGTAAGCGAGGTGCTAGCACCCTGATCTCGATCTTGTGGACCCTCAGGCTAGTGTAAACAGTGAATAGTGCAGACTGATGAAAGCACAGGGAAAGCTCTCTCCCTCCGACCAAAAAAACATCCCGACATTCACATTATTGGACTAAACCAATGGACTAGGCTAAATTAACGTGAATAGTTTGAATTGAGCTGTATTGGATGAGCTTGGCAGTAGAGGGAGAGGGCCGAACCCAACCGACTCTGGGGAAACATAGCCGCCCTGGAATCGGGTGCTTGTGGTAAGAAAGTCTTTAAAAGTTAGTGTTTGAAGATGTCAGGTACGTATAATGTACAGGAAAATACTTTGTGTTTTTTGCTTTTGTTTTGGTTTTTGCTGTTTTCAGTGGTCTTACTTTCTGTTCGAAGCTTGGTGGCTTTCCATGATTTTTCTGAGTTGACATTTTGGTCCTAACATTTTCTTTCCAGCCATTATTTCGCAGAGAGTTTTCCTCATTTACCTGTAATCCGTTTTGAATGATTTTGTTTTGCTTTCCAACGATGGTGCTCATCCATTTGAATTTCAGTCACAAATATGTTTTATCCCTGTCTGTCCGTTTCCCACTCATTCATTTGTGTTACTTATGGCTTCAGGGATCAGCGCGACAGAGTAACTTTTAATGCTTGATTTTGCAATGGAGATAAATGTTCGTCGCTTTAAACTTTATAATGCATTCATATGTGCAAGCATTTAATAAGCAGAGACTCTGTGTATTTCAAACGAGACTTTTGTATTGATTTAGAACAGCACAGACGTTGTAATTTCTGATATGTGCGAGGGAAAGTACCCAACAAAAAAAAAACTCGAAATACTGCAATGAATGGCCTTCATTCAAATGCAAATAATGTGATCTATTTTCCCCTCATGGTGGAAAAATATCCTGAGAGCCCAGGGTATTTACTGTGAAAGATGGGCTAAATCTTTGGCTCGCATACAGTCGGTTATAGTTGAATAAACTGCTGTATCTTATGCCCAACATATGTGGTGTTACTTCTAGATCTGTGACACGGAAATCAAGCCAAAGTTAAACCTTCATGCTTCATATTTATGCATGCATGCCAAACACCCTGACCCCTTCAAAACCAAGCTCTTCTGTTTGCATTTGCCCTTTGCGTTGTTTTCCTAGTTTTTTTTTCTTGTTTCAGTATGTCTCTGCTTGTTTTTTTCAGTTGTTTTTTCCCTTTTATCATTTTCTTTTTCTCTTTCCCATCTTTTCGTTTTTTGTTTTCCACCCCCTCCTCTCCCCCTTTCCCAAACCTGAGCAGAGCCCTCCGCCCCCCCTCAAGACATTAAGTGCTCCGGCTCCAGCTCCACCACCCTGCTGGTAAGTTGGCGCCCTCCGCCGGCCGAGAGCCAGAACGGGGCACTGGCCGGGTACATAGTGCGCTACGCGGTGGTGGGGGCCGGGGCTGAGGTCAACACGGAGCCCGTGAAGGAGCCAGCGGTGCCCCCCAGCTCCAATCAGATCCAGCTGCAGCGGCTGGAGAAATGGACCTTGTACCGAGTCACCGTGGCTGCCTCCACCAGCGTGGGTCCGGGCCCCGAGAGCGAGCCGCTACTGTGCCGCACAGACGAGGACGGTAATTTAAAATGAGTCTTTTGACTTGTTTTCTAGCTGAAATATCAAAGTTTGCTAGAAGAAAAATTTAATTGAGAAACAACACTGTATAAGATACCAATATTTGTTTTCATAGATTGAATCTAATTACCTTTTTTAACCTGAAATAAGTTTTTTTTTTTTTTAAATCTACACTGGAAAAAAATTGTCACTCAGAAATTGCTAGTAAATTTTACAATTAATTACAAATAAATGGCCAGTAACACATTGAATTAAACATGAAATTTTGAAGCAATGAAAGATTATATGTATCTTTAATCAGATGCATTTACATTGTGATTGTGCCTCAGATGCAATCAAGAGAAACAGTCTGTAAAGGTGTGAACATAATGGTCTGTACAATTAGAATAACAAAGGAACAGCACTCCTCAGAACTCCTACAGAAGGTCCTAACAGTATCTATTATTTGTCTCACAGACAGAACTTTGGGAGAAGCTGAGATTCTTACAAGGGTTAAGATTTTTTGAAGACCGACAAGCTAACATCACTGTTGAAGAGCTGCTACACTGCTACCTTCAGTAAATTCTTCTCCTCACAAGAACTCTGGTCAAGCTTACTTATTTTATGTATTGGAGAAATTGGCGAGCCACCCAAACCACTGCTCAGCCAAATACAGCAAAATCTAGCAGTTTAAAGACTGAAATAGTATGTTTGTAAAGTGTATTCCAGTAATCTTTATTTACAACTTTGAAAAATAATTTTGACAAAATACACTTGTATTATAGTTCACAGTGTTGATTCTCAAGTACATTGATCTTGTTTTACATGTTTTAAATGTTTAACATTTTATATCATTAGTTGTAATGGATCTGTTCTTAGTGATTTCAAGCGGACTTCACCTGATTTCAAGCTAAAAAAAAACTGTTTTTCAGTTTGGTCTAACGCAATTGGCTCTTTTAACTAAAAGGCTGTACCTACTTTCCCACAGCCACCATATTTGGTCTTATAATTTCCCCCATTCATTTTCCAGTGACCTTATATGGTCTCTGGCCAAGTTTAGTGAGAAAATAAATCCAAGATGGTGGATGAGGCGAGAGAAATGTTGATTATACGTCCGTGTAGACAGCTTACTCTTTTCAGGACAAGATCTATTGACTAGCATTACGTGATAGAGGAAACATTGACTTAGCATCATTTTCATCCATCACTTCTCTTTGTAAAGCACTCGGACAGCTTATGAGCACTGAAATAAATCCAGCTAGAGTAAGAAATTGTGTCGGACGTTCCCCGGTGACAGCAGTCTTTCTCCATGACTGACAGCGCTAGTTCAAGATACAAGCTAGTAATCAATACGAAGCACAGCCTTTCACTGGCGCTTTGGGCCGCCCTAGGATGGATAGTTTTGACGGGCCGGTCAACCACTGTAGGCGGGTCGGGAGAGAGGGAACGCTACCCCAAGACCTCCGCTGGGAAATCTCGTTTGACCAACCTAAAACATGGAGTTATTTGAGTAGCGATGCATTACGACAGTCACATCTTTGGAGACTTGTACTGTTATAGCATCTAATACGGAATAGTCAGGCCCCAATATACAGTACATCCCCTTATGGCGTCTTTTATTGACCATCCAGGAAATCGGTCTCCTCCTTACAGCAGTACTGAATGACCGGAGGTATTAAACATCAAGGCCTCGTATAAAAGGATTTTCATTAGCTCGCAGGTAAAAGACTGCAGACGGCAGACTCGCAAATTGATCAGTGATCAGATAAGAAAGATAGTGAAATGGAAGGGGATGAAATGGTTGCTCGGGTATATGGGGGTGTGATATTACAGTTGATTAAATGTCCCTGAAGATGGGCGCTTAATCAGTAGCCTGGTTTTCACATAATTGAATGTATGTACTAGCTGAGACGCAGGAGCTTATTTTCTTTTCAGCCATACAGAGATGGCGTATCGTACGGTCTTAAGGTGCTCAGTAATAATTGGTACATTGCACTATTTTTAGATCACACAGAGAGTCTGTCCTTGCCGAATCAGATGTAATTAGAGAAGATTTTGTTTATATGGGACTGAAACTGAGGTCTGTAACATATTTCATGTAGATCCTAAAATTTTCATGTTTTTAATAGCTAAAAAACATCTGGAAAGTCATGTTTAGGATATGATATCTCAGGAACTATGACTTCTAGCTATGCATAAATTGGTAGATTGGTAGAAAAATTAGTTTTCGTCAAGTCCATGTGGTTCAGAGTCTCATCAGGGTTGAAATATTTTTGTAACTGACCTTCAAATTTGATAAATAGTGAAAAAATTCTAGATGATTGAGTGGTAATCACAAAGTAAGTCACAAAGAAAATGGATGAACACACATTGATATAAGCATTCATGTTGAAGTTCAAGTCTCATATAAACACTTTTATTGTGTTGCGAGATTTTTATAATGAACCGAGGTGTGTAAAATATTTAATGCAAATTTTAACAATTTTGTTTTTTTAAAGCCCAAAAAACATATGGAAAGTCATGTTTAGGTGTAATATCTTAGGTGTGATGATTGCTAGCTATGTATAAATTGGTGAATTGGTAGAAAAATGTGTTCCCTTCAAGTCCAAGTGGTTCAGAGTCTCATCAGGATAAAAATATTTTTAAAACTGACCCCTAAAATTGGTAAAAAGTGAAACATTTCTAGACGAGTGGGTTTTAATTTTGCTCATTAAAAACTAAAGATACTAATCAATGTGTTTTGATTGTAAAACATAAGCTTTAATTGACTTCTTATGTCCCATTCATGATGAAAATGCTAAGGCAATTATCACTACTACCATTGCTCAAACTAAGAGTTAGTAATATGAACAAAAATTAGGTAAGTAACTCAAGTAGCACAAAGCAACACCTTAGCATCATATTGGTGAGTTTTGCACAGGCAAAAGCCACCATAATGTTTTTAAAAATTTAGTTTTAATGATAATATGGTAATCTCAATACCTCATAGCATGTCATCTTTTCCCATTGCAGTGCCCGGGGCCCCCCCTCGGCGTGTGGAGGTTGAGGTGCTGAACTCCACCGCCATCAAGGTAATGTGGCGCTCCCTATTGCCAGGGAAACAGCACGGGCAGATCCGTGGATACCAGGTGCACTACGTCCGTGTCGAGAACGGCGAATCCCGTGGCCTGCCCCTCATCAAGGACGTCATGCTCGCCGATGCACAGGTATGTTAACGCAACAATGCCGCTGTGCTGAATATTAACATTTTCTGAAACAAAAAGGTTGTTGTTTATTGTTTTTCTTTCCAATTTTCTTTTTAACTGACGTCATCAAGGGTGCGCAGACAATTGGTTAATGTCTATTTTTAGGATACTGTTGCAGCAAATGCGACCCAATATCTTGCAAGTACACAAGAACACACTCATGGCCACTGCAACAAATGTATGAAAATCCTTTTATAAACAATTTAATCTGTGAAGTTCTTTTATAGCCTCTAGAATGCTTTCCACAAGCAGTCCAAAATATCTTATCAGCCATTAGAATTGCACGGTTTAGTCAAACCTCTAATAAGTTTAACCTCTAAGGCTCTAGTGTCATAGATAAAGTCAACAAAAGCTGATTATGTCAGCCGTATTGAGCGCCCCGAGAGCTCCACAAAAACATGAGGCACTTGAGCACTGCGATCACAATTCAGACTTGATTTAAAAGCAGAAGCGGCAGAAAAAGAAAGAAAAAAAGAAGAAAAAGCAAGCAAGCGCCTCTGGCTGCAACCTAAAATTATAATACAAGCTTCTGTCATGAAAACAGTGAAATTACAGATACCATGTGCCTTATTCTCCTCACAGCTGCAAATATTACAGCTTTGAACAAACCGTGACTAAAGCTTTTGAATTTATCCCGCTTATGTTTATGACAGTATCATTTACAGTTGTCAGCTGCGTAGTAATCGGTTGATATTACATCGATATCTGGGTCACGATACAATAATATTGATTCTATGTTTATTCTGTACAAAAGGTGATTTTTTTTTTTTATTATTTGTTTTAGTCTGTTTAAATATCACAAACATTTATGTAATGATAAAATAATAAAATATTCATGTGAACATTTTGAATAAAAGTACATTTTTGGGGTTGAGGTGAGTTATCCCAAAACTAATCAAATTAATTTTGCATCGCATAAGACTTGGAGCATTTTTCAGAAGAATAGCTGTTGTGATCTGATATTAAATTCCAAAACAGCCTTTTTATACTCTTACTAAATGAAATGGTGAAGAAAAATCTGCAGGAATGACATGCTCAGATAGCAGCGGCCACTCAATTTCCTGCCTCGTCTTCAATCTTCATGATTTTTTTCACCCTAATCCACACTGACCTACTTTAAAACACTCTGCCGTTCTTCCATTTCCTTGGCACTTTTACCTTGTTTCGTCTTACGCTTTCCTCTCTTTCTTTCTGTCTGTCTTTTTCCTCTCTTTCAAACCGCGCTCCCTCTTTCTCCTCCCGGGTGGGGGATGTTAGTGGGAAATGGACGACACAGCTGAATATGTGAGTATGGCTGTCGGCGAGTGTTCGGTGTGATGTGAGAACCTGTGATGTTACATCAGACCCGCTTTGTATCTCAGTCATTGAACATGTTTATAGGCAGAAATTCAAATGCTGGTTTTATTGGGGAAATGTCATAAACACTGTAGATCATGTAGATTCTAGCATTTTTTAATAGGCATAAATGTCTTGAGAAGCCATGTTCAGGGTATGATATCTCAGGAACTTGGATTGCTAGCTTTGTGCAAATTGGTAGATTGGTAGAAAAATGTGTTCCCTTCAAGTCTTAGTGGTTCAGAGAGTCATCCTGGTAGAAATATTTTCTAAACTGGCCTCTAAACTTGGTAAATGTGAAAACATTCTAGAAAACTGAGTGGATTGATACACAGATTTATGCATGGATGTTGAAGTTCAAGTCTCATGTAAACCTTTTTTTGCATTGCATTGCAAGATTTTTATAATGAACTGAGGTGTGTAAATATTTCATGTAGATTTTCATTTTGTAAAGCTCAGATATCCAGAAAGCCAAGTTTAGGGCATGATATCTCAGGAACTTTGATTTTTGGCTTTGTACAAATTGGTAGATTGGAAGAAAAACATGTTCCTTTCAAGTCCAAGTGGTTCAGAGTCTCATCAGGGAAGAAATATTTTTGTAACTGACCTCTAAATTTAGAAAAAGTGAGAAATGAGACAATTGAATGGGTCTATGAGAGGCATAAACCGGGGTCATTAAAATATCTCAAAAAATATATTTTTCTTGCATATTGATGCATATAGATTGATGCATTGAAGATAAAGTGTCATGTAAACCATTTTTGGTGTTGCAAGATTTTTATAATGAGCTGATTTTTGTCAGAGAGAGAAAACTAATGCAACCTCACGTCCATTGTGTGTGTGTGTGTGTGTGTGTGTGTGTGTGTGTGTGAGACGGCAATAGAAAAATATTAATGGTGCACAGGGGGGAATGATGTAACATCAGGGTTCCTTTATGCCTGGCATGAAAGAGTGTTTTGTGCTGTGATGTTGTGCATTAAGTAAAGTGCAAACAAAAACGAAGCTTATTTTGTGCAAAATTCAAGCAACCTTTTGAAGAAATGAGATATACATTGGTGATATTTATTTTTATAAATAGATAATTTGTGTAACCCAAAAATTGCATGAATATCTTGAACTGGTTTGATGTGAAGCGCAATTCTCTGTAAGCTGCAGGACCCACAGTTGCTTTTTTCTCTGCAAGCGCATTGCATTAATTTCCTCTCCGTCATGCGCACTGATCAAAGTTCACTCGCTTTCACGTGAAATATTGGAAAATAGGAGGCCGTCAGAAGGGCGTGTGTGCTCACAGCTTACCGGCCGACCTGGAGAGAAATTCATTATTCTGACAGTCTGTTTGCTCAGGCTCTCTGTTGAATTAATTCACAGACATGTGTCGTAGATGAGCAGGAATTGTAATCTATAACCTGGTCATGCTGGATGACATGCTAAATGCCAATAATAATGATCCACACTGCTGTAGAAATGAGGTGCACTTCTGAATATGTATATAGAGAGAGAGAGAGAGAAAGAGAATTATATATTATTCATTGATATACTTATATCAATAAATAATATATTTAATTTATTTAATATATATATATATATATATATATATATAATTTTTATTTAATTTGATAATATTAGAGGTGTTAATATCAGTCATACATTCGGTATTAATGTGACAAGTTGCTAGGTTAATATACTTTTTAAAAAGACAGCAGAGTACAGATTGCAGGCTGTGGCATTGAAAAGAGAGGAAACTGACGCCAGGCCTGTGCAGGTGACATGTAGTAAAGTCTTTAAAAAATTCAGTTCCCTAACATAGTGCTAACTTCCCTCTTTGTGTCCATTAACCACAGGAGATGGTCATCGGGGGCCTGCAGCCTGACACCACGTACTCCATCACCGTGGCAGCCTACACCACCAAAGGAGACGGAGCCCGCAGCAAACCCAAGCTGGTGGTGACTAAAGGAGCAGGTCGGTAATAATGACGTTATCATTAGCTGAGCTCCAGAGCACCGCAGGCCAGGTGTTATGAGCTACAGGAGCAAAATGAACCTTAAGGGACTTCAATCGAATAAGAAAAAACAAACATGGCCTATATAGTGTGTCTGGAGTACATAAAAGCTATAAGGGAACGTATAGCTGGGATTGTGCATTAGCGGTTAGCCACACATGGCCTGCTACTGCAACAAAGTTTCGTTTTCAGAAAATGTGAACTGATGTAGAGGGCTGAAGTTTGAGTAAGGCATTAGTGGGTCAGAATGATGGACTAGTTAACCACAGATTAGTAAATTAGCTTGCTGTGTTAGCCTAATTGTACAGGGAAGTGAATCACTATTTCCATGCAATGTTAATGCCATTTTTATAAGTACTTTTTCTCTGTACACATGCAGACAAACATGTTTTAGCTGTTAGATTTTTTTTTTTTTTTTTTGTTTTTTATGTGTCTGATGCCATGAGTGTTTTATTTTAAGGTACAACATTGAGTAAAAATGGCACTAATCCTGTCTGATTATTCACTTCTTCTACAAGCCATCTATCTAACTGGTCTCTTTTGAAAATATGTCGTTTTATACATCCCTAGTGTAAGAATGATCAGGTTGGCCTTGCCTAAACGTACCAGAAAAGTGAATACCATGCTAGTGAGTTTTGGACACTACCATCATGCTAGTATTCTATCTCTGTACACATGTAGACGATCATGTTTTGGCTTTTGCGTTGCTTCTCATTGTTTTTTATGCATCTGACGCCATGAGCTTTTTCTTTTAAGATGCCTTAAGTTAAGTTAAAATAGTGCTAATCCTTGCTGATGGTAAGATTTTCACCTGACAGCCCACTAACTAGTCCATTTTGAAAATATGCATCCATAGTGTAAGAACAGTGGGGGTTTGACTGAATTTTGGACACTACCATCATGCTAATAGCATGATATATTTTGAAGTACCTTTTGAGCAGTATAGTATATGAATAATGCTAATAAGATATATTAGCTAGCCACATATGCGTAGTCGGTTTTCCTCTGCAGTTAGCTCTCAAACTCCAGACGCTGACGAGACAGGTGTGCCGATTGCAGATGTCAAGTGTGACAGCGGCGCCATATATGCATGTCATTCTGAATGCCTGTCTCTCTCCCTCTCACTCACACAGTGATGTGGCGCAGTCAAAGGAAGGATGTCCCTGCGCTTCCCGCCTCCCAAAGTGTGGTGAAATGCTTACAGCAGACAAAATAAATAAATAAATAAACAAGGGCAGACTCAGCCCTACTTAAAGAAGTGGCACCGTGCTCTTTCATGTGCCAGAACAGAGGGGAAGCTTGACCAATGGGGCTCAGAGGAGCCACTCCGGGGCACTTTCATGCCTCATTTCTGCTACATAATGCTGTCAGACAACTTAAGCCCCTGCCTTATTGTATTGATAAGGGCCGACCCACCCCTTTCAAACCCCGAACCTTCCACAAGGCCGCCTGTCATCTGAGAGAGCCGGCCGTCCCCGAGCTGCCATTCTGCATGTCGGCGATACACTTCAGAACGGAGACTCGGCAGCGTGAAGCCCGTCAGTCAGGCTCTACGAACATGCCAAGATGTCATTCCAGTTGCATACAACAAAATAATGTGCGCTGGAGTGAGCAGTAATATTTTAGTGGTGAAAATCAGGATTGCTATCGTTAAATAAAATATAAAATAAAACATCAACTGAAATGAAATTAAATAAAAACCATATATTTAATTTCAGCTAGGTGCCAAGGCAACATTTCTCATTTTTGTTTAAGCACTAAAATAACACAACTAAGATATAAATTAATAAAAACTATAAATGTAAACAAAAAATGGCAAAAACTACAACTAAAATTAAATTGGAAAACCGCTAAAAAAAAATAATTTAAAATATTCAGGGTTATTAGCATGAATTCAAATCATTAAAAAATATACTAATATTACTAAAATAATACAATTAAAATGAATAGAAACTATATATTTATAGCATGACTAATTTAAGAAAAATGACAGAATTATTAACAATATGAATTAAAATAAAAAAGATTAAAATAAAAACTAATTTAAAATATTAATATAAATTGGATAATTGACATATAAATATATGTCAATGATCCAAAAATAGCACCCGTTCAAATGCACAAAAAAAAGTCAATTTCCGCCATTTCTGGTGTTTTTTGTATTATGTTTAAGCACACGTCACAACGTTGACAAACATTATTAATGCTGCGTTCAAAGAGCTACGTTATCGGTTTCCTGCGCTGGATAATTGACATATAAATATATATGTCAATGATCCAAAAATAGCACCCGTTCAAATGCACAAAAATGTCAATTTCCGCCATTTCTGGTGTTTTTTGTATTATGTTTAAGCACACGTCACAACGTTGACAAACATTATTAATGCTGCGTTCAAAGAGCTACGTTATCGGTTTCCTGCGCCTTGATCTCAAAGCAGATGTCCTTCTATCGATCTAATTGATGCTGCCTGTTGTCCAGGAGGAATGACACAGGAATGATTGATTCTGTTCTTGTTTCAGAGCCGATGGACTGGTTGATGTGCATGCTGTCAAACCCTTTGCTAATGCGCCTTATCATTCGCGATTCCACGTGCTTTAAACACAAACCGTCACATCTTTAAGTTTAGGCGTCGGTAGGCCAGATTCCGATCAAGTGCGAGCCTTCCTTTTTTTAATTTCCTCCTGTCTCCTTTCATCCTTGTGGGAGATGAGCAGATTGCATGCTAATGCAGGGGCTGGAGGTGTTCTTCACGAGTGTCCGCTTGGACTGCCGCCACGGCTCAGGGAACAGAGAGTCTGGATGACTCACAATCCTCCCGGCACTGTGGTTATTCTCTTCAAGTATTTGGTCCACTTAGGGCCACTTGCTCCAGTCCTGATTGTGGAGAGTGAAGCTCCTCGGTTGGTCTCTGGAGCTTCTTGTCTAATATCGTCTGATGCCAGGATACTGTGGCATGGAGTTGAACTTTCTGTAGATTGAGGTTTTTGGATTATGGGATTACAAACTGGCATTATGGTGCTCATAAATTGATTTTGTTTATTTTTATGAAACGTATAGTTCCAGCTCTAGAATTAGATTAGATCAGCTGTCTTTGAAATCTTTATTGGTGCACCAAATTGGTACATTTCCTGAAAACTGTAAACAGATAGCTGAGCACTTAGTAGAAGATTTAACTTTATTATATATTGAACAGTTGTGTCTGTTTCTGCTGTTGCTAAAATTTTATAAAAGCAACAACTTTGCTTGATGCCCATGTGCCCTTTACCATAGTAAAATCACTACAAACATGTTCATTTGTGGAATGTTACTATGATTAAATTCTTGTGTATTGTAGAAAAATTAAAGAATGTTAATTACATTTAACTTTTTGTTATCCTGTGCTGAGGAAATTTAGTCGGACCGTTATATTCAGACATATTTGGTTGGTTTTGCCCTTGTCTTTTGTATATTTGGTATCAGTTCGGCCCAGAATGCAGCGCTGCAGTTTTCTCAGGGCTAAGTCATGTCAGCTGGCAGTCGTGCTTTATACGCTTAATATAACTCCCTGTAAGTCCTGTCGGCAGGTTAATTGCATGTTAGCTGAAGGTTATTTTATTTTGTTCCTCTTTTTTGTAACGGCGTCTCCTCCACTGGAGATGAGAAGGACAGAGAGAGAAAGGGAAGTATGGAAGGGGGAGGGCGTGAGTGTGAAACGCAATCCTATCTTAATCAGTGGCTGTGGGTCAACAGTGGCCGTTAATGCAAGGCCTAATGGGAAACGTGTCTGTGGTCCTGTGGAGAGGATTGTGTGTCGTCCAGTGGAGTGGACTGGAGTGCCATTGGCGAGGGGAAGCGGGCCACAATCATGGAGTCTCTGACCCTCGTTGTCCTCTCACTGCAGCAGATTGCGCCTTTTCGCCGTCACCTTCATCAGCACTTATTTTTTTTCCTGGAGTCATTCGTCCTCCTGTCTGTTCTCATGCTCTCCTTCTCTATCATACAGCTGTTAACCCACCATCTCTCATCCAGTGATCTGTTCAACAACCATCTAGTCACTTAAAAATTAATAGCTTTTTCAATACAGGTTGTTCTGACTCGCAGACTCTCTGGGTAACATTTGGAGTAAGGAGTATATGTGCTGTTAGTGCCTTTATGATAGTTTGTACAAAATGTACATGCTTATATAATGGTACTTTACAGGAACTGGGTTTGTAATAAATCCATTTAAAGTCATTTTGGATGGCTTTTCTTTAGTAGGGAGTACCAGGATGAAAATACACCTAGTTACGATACAACAGACTTAAGTGAGATACGGTTCATTTCAATTGAATGTAATGTCCCTCTTTCTCTCTCTGCAGTGCCGGGGCCTCCCTTTCTCTCTGTCAACCAAAACTCAGAGACTACCGCATTAGTGCGCTGGCAACCCCCAGATTTCGTCGCTCCGGGTCTCGAGGTGCAAGGCTATCGGCTTCAGATCGGCCGAAAGGATGTGAGCCCCCTGGCCACGCTGGAGTTCGGCCCTCAGGAGCTGGAATATTCCATTAGCAATATCCACCGAGGGGCCACGTATGTCTTCAAAGTGTCCGCCAAGTCTAGATCGGGATTTGGTGAAGAGGCTACCCGAGAACTAAAAGTCCCAGAGGAGGTTCCTCGAGGGTATCCACAAATAATCGAAGGGTCTAACATTACCTGCTGCTCGCTCCAATTTGCCTGGTTGCCTCCGGTGCTAGCGGAGCGCAACGGCGCTATAACAGAATACACACTGGCTTATCAAGAGGCCGGAACGGTTGGCAGACCCAAGGAACTGCGTCTGCCGGCAAGTGAGAACAGCTACACCCTCAACAGCCTGAGGCACAACGCAGTGTACGATGTGAAAATTCGAGCGCACACCAGTGTAGGTCCAGGGCCCTACAGCCCATCGATCCAGTATCAAACAGTGGCCTACGAAGCAGGTATGGGTTGCTCATTTCCCCGCCTCAAGGGACAAACCTCTACAATGCAAGCACCTACACCCGATTATATAAAGTTCTCTGGGAGCCACATACCTCACTAACACCCTCCCCCACAACAAGGTAAAATAAGTCAGTAAGTTAAAGTCAGTCAGTTTTGAAAGGGGAGGAGCATCGATTTTTGTGAGGTAAGTGCCGATTTGTCAGACACGCCCAGCACATTCACTCATCCAATCACAAAACTCCCCTAGTATTCCAAGGTAGGCGAGAGCCACGTCAGATCCCAGATCTGAAGTCGAATCAGGCACATTTGTTTACTATGTTTGTGTTTTCTTCTGCATTTTTCGTTGTTTGGTTTAACGGTTCCTCTTTTCTGTACTCACCCCCCCACTCCCACACTGGGAAGGTTTGTAGCATGGCGTCCCATGATGCACTGCTAACAAGTGTGGGCATGACAACTGTGTTTGGGGATTGTCCTCATTCCTGTCGGGCTTTCTGCCACGGCAGTGCCTATCCAAATTCGAGAGCACGCAACAGTGGGTTACTCAAACATAATGTGGGTGCAGCTATTCTGGAATCGTTCAGGGGGGATTATGGGAGCTGCTTGCCAAATGTTCTTGTTGGGGCGGCACTGCCGGGCCAGGGCAGGCAGAGTACTGTGCGATCCTGTGGTTCTGTGTTCACTAGTCTAGTCTAGCGTGCTGTTTGTCCCAACTGAGCGCCTCCCCCCTCCCCCTCACAGCTAATGCCACACACCGCTCACTCAGAGGGACCAAAGCCCCTCTCCTTTGGGGGAAAACTGTTCGCAAGCATCGAACACTCTGTCAGCCTTCTTTCCCTTCAGTCTTGTTGTGCTTTTTCAATTTCTAAAGTGTCTTTCCTCCGTTCACCTCTGGACAGATGTTCCTAAGAACTTCACCGTGAAGCTGGCCACCAAAACCACGGTACTGCTGACATGGAAGTTTTCCGATAGCCGCTTCCCGTACCGCTGCATGGTAAGCGAGCTAATGAATCCTGTTTTGTTCATTCAATATCAATCTTATTGCCAGGATCTGTTTTTGAACCATTTATCGATACACATTGGTCCACAGATCGAGTACAACCGGCAGAAGGTTGACATTGACGCTAGGATGACCAAAGCTCTCATCACCAACTTGCGACCCAACAGCACCTACGAGTTCAGGATCACCTGCCAGGAGAGCAGTGACGGTGGACCCAAACACAAGCTCATCGCACGAACGGCGCCACCTATTCTGGTCCGAAAGCCAGAGTTGGACCTGAAAAGAGAGCCGGCCAGCACGCTGACCATTGTCTTCCCACCGCTGGAATCCAAAGAGTTGATAAAGTGAGGAAAACCAAATGCCGTTCTAAGCCAGAAACGCATTCTACACAAGCATGTGAATGCAGATGGAATCCAAAGAGTTGATCAAGTAAGGAAAACCAAATGCTCTTCTAGGTCAGAAATGCATTCTATGCAAGCATGTGAACGCAGACGCAAGCAAATTGGAAATATGGGGTTCTTTAAAAGTGTTGATGTTGTCAGCGCCAATAGCCTCATGGGCAGCGTGCTGACATGTAGCGCCGTTGTGCTTCAGGTGTCCCAATTTCCGGACCTTTCCCTTATCCTATCGAAATAAAGGCATAAAACACCTAAAATAAATCTTAAAAAGGTAGCCTTGTGGGCAGCATACAGACATAGAGCGCTGTTGCACTATTGGCGTCCTGAGTTCGAAGTCCATCTTCACTTCCACTTCCTGTCAGCTCTGATCTATCCTATCATAATAAAGGCAAGAATGCCAAAAATAAATCTTATAAAAAAAGTGTCGGTTTTGGAGTAATGACAAAAAAACTCACAGTAGAAGACAGTTTGCTCTGTTGTCTTCTATAGTGCCCCTTGTGGCCATACTGATAATGCAGCACATACTTAAGAACTGCGTTTTGTGTTTGTGTTTCGAAAAGCAACATCAAACTTGCTTAGCTTGAAACTTCTGCGTTCGCATACTTGTGTAGGGAATTTTTCAGGTTTTGTGGAAAATCGTTTAGCTAGATGTTCCCAGTTTTATGGAACATGGAAAAATAATCACATTTAGTGGATAGGTAGTTATTTTTCTGTACAATTCTTTGACTAGCAATTTTTGAAATGGTTTTGTGCACCATCTTGACCTCTTGCAGGGCGGTCTATGTTGTGGTGGTTCCTCTGAAGAAGGGAAGAGGTCCAATCCGACACATCAAGAGCCCAGATGAATTGGACCTAGAAGAGGTGAACATACTCGCAGCTTATTTTCTCAAGTCTTTGTCCTTGTGTCACAGACACAGTGGAGCCAAAGCCATGGAAAGTGTTCTCGCAGGAGCATTGTGGGAATGTTCCTGAGGGGTTTGTCAGGGAGAGGGGACAATTACACAGCTTTCATCCTTACCCGCTGACAAACTGCCATGCTTGGCCGCTTGACCTTGAACTGTGAATGGCGAATGGGTGCCTGTATTCTGTTTATGTATTATTTGACTTCAAAATGATTGGTTTTTGTTTGTTTGTCTTTTTGAGTAAATAACCCATTTTATTTAGCATCAGCTGCTAATTGTTTGATAGTTGTGTTCCCAGAAGAATCAACCAGAATATGTTGTGTTTTAGATGCTGGTTTCAGTTCTCCTCAAGCAGTCTTTTTCTCCCACAGCTGTTGGGCGACAGAAGACTCGGTCAACGTCACGCTCGAACCACCCGTCAGCTCAAGCAGGTGGACGGGAAGCAGCCCTACATTGCTGCCAGCTTCAAGCCCTCATCCATGCCGCCGTCCTTCACCCTGGGCAACCAGATGGTGTACAGCAGCTTTGAAAACAGGCCTCTGGACCCCGGGCAGGAATATGTGTTCTTTATCCTTGCTGAGCTCAACACCACCGGAGGGGTGAGTGAAATTTAAGTTTTAAGACTCGTGCAAAGTGGCGAATGCAGATAGCTATAACCTTTTTTTGCTTTTGTGCAGAAAACGTTTGCGTCCAGCCCCTACACGGATCCAGTGACAGCTCCAGAC